CGCCCGCCTCGCTGCACGCGCCCGCACCCACGTCACTCGCCCGCCTCGCTGCACGCGCCCGCCTCACATGCCCACATCACGCACCTACCTCACATGCCCACTTTTCCATGTGTGCCCACCACACGTGCCATCATGTGCCCACCACACTGCACACGCCCGCCTTGCACGCGCCCACCTCACGCATCCACGTCACGCGCCCGCCTCACGTGCCCACGTCACACGCCTGCCTCACTGCACGCACCTGCACCCACGTCACTCACCCGCCTCGCTGCACACGCCTGCCTCACGCGTCCATGTCACACGCCCGCCTCGCTGCACGTCACGCATCCGCCTTGCTGTGCACGTCACGCACCTGCCTCCCTGCACATGCCCACCTCACGCATCCACGTCACGCGCCCGCCTCACGTGCCCACTTCTCCGTGCGTGCCTGTGGCGGGGCCGAGCCTGGGGATGCCAACTGCCGTGCAAATTACAGCTTGTCTCACCTCTGTGAGCTTTATTTTTGAATTTCTTTTACATTTGAAGGCTCCTGGCAGTCTTTTCAAGAAGACAATCAGAAGTTTACCAAACTTTTTTAACGGGTGTTCAGAAAATGCAAAATGGGGTGTTCCAAAAATCTGCTTTAGGAACTTTAGACTGTTCCAGTTAAGATGTCTGTAATCTCTGTTACAAAAACGAGATCTGTGCCAGTTGAGTCGTGCTGCCCCCACCTCCCAGTAAGCAGCAGGTGCTTGCTGGTGGCACAGTGGGCCGCAGGGCTGGGGAGGCAGGGAGCCCGGCCAGGCGGGCTGTGGCTCCATGGGGGGCAGTGCCGGCGGCCTGGCCCTCCAGGCTCCTCTCCACTTGCCAGTGACCCTAGTCTGACCGGCAAGATGTTTGGTCCTTTGGTTTAAGGTTTTCCCAAATGGCGGGATAGAAGAGTCAAAGGAAACTGATCCTCTGAATTGATAGAAAAAGCAAAATTTCCATAGTTTTATCTTGAAGGGTTATGGAATTAACGTGCATAATGCCGTTTTCGGAGAATCCGAACGAGGCTCCCCTGCAGCCACTCTTGGGTCAGAAGGGACGCGCTACCTGGCAGCTGACCTCGCGGCACAGTGTGGCTGAGACCCCCAGGCCTCCCAGGCCCCGGGCACCCTTTACAGGGAGTGAGGCTGTGCGCACCCATCGCTCCTTCCTGCCGCGAACTCCGGCTCCTCCACGGGCACCGTCCGGCTGTGGGCTCGGCCTCTCTGCGAGGTCAGCAGTCACACTGGCCTCCCGGCCGCTGGCCACCTACTGGGATTTGTCCCCGTTGTCACCGGCAGCGGCCCCTGGGGTCTGTCCTCTTCTTTAGGTCTTACTGAGCCAGGTCAGGACACGTGGGAGGACAAGGGAGCCCCAAACTCTGCAGCCACATGGTGGGGGGAGGGGCGCCTCGGGGTCACAGGGTGAAGCCCAGGCTCCGACTCTGGGCCTCCCAGGGTCCCCACACCGCTTCTGTGCCAGCTCCTCCTGCCCAGTCGTGCTGGGGACAGAAAGCCCCTCGCCCAATACCAGGCCTTCCTCCTGTCCTTGTCCCCGTGCAGGGGTGCTGGGCAATGTTCCAGGTAGTCACACTTTCTCCACAGACGTAGTGAGCCGTTTGCACTTCCCGGTCAGCTTGTTGGTGAACAGCTGCTCACGCGGCATGTCTCTGGGTCTGTGCGTGAGCATCACACGTGGACTTCACAGCGCAGACCCCCATGTAACTGGCAGGCGCTGACCCCGTGACCCTTGTCCTTGCAGCCACCGAGACGGCCCAGCAGCTGAAGAGAGGCGCAGGGGTGCCCTTCCACGCCAAGGGGCGGGGGCTGCTCCGCAAGATGGACACCACAAGTAAGGCCGCCGCCGCTGGGGCTCTGGGTGCCAGCAGCAGGCGCTGGGGGGCGGGGGGCGCTTGCCTGAGCTCGGCGAGCAGGCACCTCACTGTCGGATGGGAGGCTCTGACCTGAAAGATGGTGTTTTCCTCGTTAGCCAAGTCGTGGAGCTGTTAGGGCCTGGGCAGATGGCGCCTTGCAGGCCCCCGCAGCCTGTGGACGCGCACGGGGCTGATTGCACGAGCTCTCCCACCCCCAGCGCGGTCTGAGGGCACGAGCGTGAACGCGTTGCTGTGATTGAGGCCGGGATGCGTGGGAAAGTACCTGCTGTGTGCCCCCGTCCGTGACGGCCCCGCCAGGGGGTGACTGTGTGGCAGCACCTGCTTCCGGCCTTCCCCCCCACCCACCGTGCCCCGTCCTGCTTGGCCGCTGCTGGGCTCCAGCAGTGTCTCTGCTGGTGGGGAGGTCACAGAGGGTGCCTGCGGCCCTCCCCGCATGGCCCGCCCCACGCGCCTACGGTCTACTTAACGGGGGACGGAGCAAATGCTGCTGCCAGCTGGTCCCGAGGAGCGTTCCAAGTCGCTACCTGCGTGTACGGCTCTGCCGGGGGGGAGGGCGCATGGGGAGGGCGCCTGCAGCCGGGGGGCGGGGCGGGGCCCAGGAGCCCCCGGCAAGGACGCACTGTGCTGCCTGAGCAGCTTCCCCGTGACAGAGGCCGTCCCTGTCACCACCCACCAGGCGAGGTCTGGGGGAAGGAGGAGTCTCTCCTCGTGGGCTGTGTTGGCCGTCTGTGACGTGTGCCCTGAGAGGACAGTACTAGGTTAAAGGTCAAGTGTGGCGTTTTTCTGTGCTAATAGACGGTCGCGTTTGAGGGCAGTGGGTTTTCTTCTGTAGAACCCGTTCTATCAACGTCTTTGTTTGGCTCGGTATTTTCGGCAAAGGTGTCAGAGTGACAGTGGCCCCCTTGCCACTGTGGGTGCCTGGGCACGGTCCTGCATTGCAGGCTCTCTGGGCAGGCTGGGCACAGTGAGGGAGCCACCATCGCCCCCCTTGCTCCTTGCTCCATAAATAAATACACGGTGAATGGGACCGGCTGGTGTGGGCCTGCGTGGGGGCCAGGGCTTTGTCTCCTGAACCGGAGACGTGGGTGGGGTGCTGCACCCCACATCTGTGGGGAGCACACCCTCTCCGGAGCTACACCGGGAGGAGCAGCCTGCTCACTGTGGAAAGGTGGGGAGCATGCACAGCGGCCCTCCCAGGGCGGCCCGTCACAGTCTCTGGTCAGAGGAGCGGCAAACTCCTGCTGGCCTGTGGCCCCTCGCTTGGAGCCCCCAGACCACTGACAGGCCTGTCCCCCCCAGCCCCGCTCAAAGGCATCCCGAAGCAGGCGCCGTTCCGCAGCCCCACTACCCCCAGCGTCTTCAGCCCTGCCGGGAACCGGACCCCCATCCCGCCGTCGAGGACACCGCTGCGGAAGGAGAGGGGCGTGAAGGTGGGCCCGCTGTCCCCGCCCCAGCCGCCCCCGCCCCAGCCAGACCAGCCTCTGCGCTTTCCTCCTGGTAAAGTGTCGAGTTCTGTCTGTTTTGACAGCTGCTCGATATTTCTGAGCTGGACATGGTTGGCGCTGGCCGGGAGGCAAAGAGAAGAAGAAAGACTTTAGGTGCGTGCCCTGGGCCACCCTGCCCATCTGCAGAGGGCAAGACACTGGCCTGGCCTGGCATCAGGCAGCCTCTGTCAGGGGACTTGAGAAGGCGGGCGCTGCCTCGGGAGCCAGACTTGGGGGTTCTTGGTCAGGGCTGGGGGCCCCATGCCCAGAGCTTGTGCGGCCCAGGGCTGCTGTGCTGATTTGGGGGCGCCTGCCCAACACACAGAGGCTCCTTCCAGTCCCTTCCTCTTTTACTGGTTGGGGCTGACTCTCCTCATCTTAGTGACGGGTTTTGTGTTTTAACGAGAAAATAGTCTTTCAAAGAAGAGAAGTGACTGTATACGGCAGGTGTCTTCCTGGGGACTCACCTTCTGCTCAGACGGGAGGCTGTGTTTTCGCCCCATATTTGGTGCAGTGTTCCAGCACTGTCTTCACTGTCCCTTCCCTAAGTGGACAACAAGTGTCCCAGCCAAGGGGGTCCGGCTGGGTCTGCGTGGGGAGAGCGCAGGGTGGGCCGCCGGGAGCGCTGAGGCGGCCTTGGCTGTGTCTGCAGATGCCGAGGTGGTGGACAAGCCAGCCAAGGAGGAAACCGTGGTGGAGAATGCCACCCCAGACTACGCGGCGGGCCTGGTGTCCACACAGGTAGGCTTCGCGCCGCGTGGCTGCCGCATCATGCCTTCCGCCTCCCCGCTCTTCCCAGCCTTTCCCACGGCCAGATACGAGCTCCCTCTCACTCCGATTATTGCCCACTAAAACGTTGCCATCCAAGAATATACGTGTGTGTGTATATGTGTATGTACATATGTGTACAGCTATATACGTATGTGTGTATGTATGTGCATGTCTGTATATGAGAGGCGGCACAGGGCCGTGAAGAGCCCCGATTTGGTGTCACACGTGGGCTTGAAGCTTGTTATCTGCCACATGTGCTGGCTCGAGGGTCTCCTCGGGCAGGTCCCGCACCCCTGGGCCTTGGTTTCCCCTCTGTCAGGAGCAGGTGGCGCTGTGAGGGGGAGACGGTGTGCGGCCTGGGGCGCGCTGGGTCCAGGCTGAGGTGCCGGGCTGAGGGCCCGGGTGTGAGGGCCTCGCCACCTGAGGAGTCAGGGCTGCGTGCGTGTGGGCAGGGGATCCGTGCCCGTGGGGGCAGCTCACCCCCAGAGCCTCACTTGGGAAACAGTGACGTGTGACGCATGTACAGAGCTTGTTCTCAGCGCGCCCTGGGCGAGGGCCAGGACGCGGCCGCATTAGCGCGAGCATTTCTGGATGACGGCGTGACCTCTTGCTTAGCTGTGTTTTCTAGATTTCTCATAATGAACGTGTCTTCCCTTTGTCATGTGCTTTTGTGGTAAGAAAAAAATATCGTTGAACTTCTCTTTTTGTCTGAGACGGTTGGTTTGGGAAGCTCCCTGACCTCCCCTCTCCCTAAAGCAGGAGCAACTCAGCCTCCGTCTCCTCTGCTGAGGTTGGCCCAGGTGCCAGCGGACAGGGCCCGCATCACCGAGCCTTGGGCCTCGCAGCCTTGAGAAGCCGCCTTCCCCGCCCCGGGGGAGCTCTGCTGTCACTGCCCAGTGCCAGGCTGCTGGACTGTTGTGCTTGCCACATGGAGGGGCAGCATCTGCACGGGGTGGGGCGTGCAAAAGCTGCAGCCTCTTCCCAGAGGGACCAGAACCCTGTCTTCCAGAAACTCGGGTCTCTGAACAATGAGCCGGCGCTGCCCTCCACCAGCTACCTGCCCGCCACACCCAGCGTGGTCCCAGCATCCTCCTACATCCCCAGCTCGGAGGCCCCACCAGGTGAGTGGTCAGGTGGCCTCTGTCCCCTCAGCCTTCCCGGCCCCATACGAACAGCCTGGAAACGAGGGCCCCCAGAGGAGCTGAGCTGCCAGCAAGAGGCCCAGAGGCTCTCAGGAGATGGCTGATCCAGGACCATCTTGGCCTGTCTTCCCAGGACTCGCCATGCTAACCCCAGATGGTGCTCTTTGGAGTCAGCAAGCTTTTTGCTGGGGGTTCTCCCTCAGCCCCTGCTTGTCCTGGTGGAGGGCCCCTCAGTGCTAGGTTAAGGAATAAACCAAAGACATAGACTGGCCGGCTGGGAGGTGCTATAGGGCATTTGTGAGTGGGTGAGTAGGAGGACTCAGTGGGTGGGGAGCCCCTGCTGGCGAGGGGGTGGCCTTCCTGTACGAGGGATCAGGGCTGGCACCAGCAAAGGGCTGGCCCTCCTCAGGGTCCCGGAACAGTGGGAGACCGTCTGAGGAGGAGCCGGACTCGGCTGCTGAGTTTCTTCTCGAGGCCTCTCCTCCACGGGGCTCTGCTCTGCCTGCCTGGCACTTGGCCCGGCAGAGCTTGCCTGGAGGGTGGCTGAGGGCTGAGGGCCGAGGGCCGCAGGGGGACTTCCCCTGTCCTGTCTTCTCAGCCCGCCCTTGCCCAGAAGCTGCCCAGGCCAGACTCCATGTCTGCCCGGGGCGGGGGGTTCTGAACAAGGTGGAGGCAGGAATCTAGTTTCTCAGCCCAGAGACACCACTGGGGGAGGGGTGTGGGAGAAGAGAACGGGGCTCCTGGTGGGCCTGCAGGGGTCGGGGGCAGGGCTCTGCAGGCCCAAGACTACAGCTCCGCCCCTGGCTCTAGGTGGGCTCTTGCGGGCTCGTGGCGGACCTGGCCGGCGTCTCCAAGCCAGCCGTTCACAGCACCACCAGGTGCAGGGCCGGCCCTGGCTTCTGCCGCGGGAAGGGATCTGAAAGCACGCGGGGCTCCTGAAGCGGGAGGTGGGCACATGGGGGTGAGGGGTGTGGGCTGGTGACAGGTGAGCAGGCTCAGAGTGTGTCCCAAGAGTGGTGGCCAGTGGGGCTTGCCTTTCCAGAAGCACCCCTCGGCCTGGCCTGGAGCTGGGCGCAGTGCCCCCATGCAGCCCCCCTCCAGCTGCAGGGCCTCACCGTACACACTCTGCTTGCAGCACCGTCCTCCCGGGAAGCCAGCCTGCAGGCCAGCCGGCCACCTGAGGAGCCCAGCACCCCAAGCCCCACGCTCCCGGCCCAGTTCAAGCAGAGGGCACCCATGTACAACAGCAGCTTGAGCCCGGCCACGCCCACACCTGCGTCTGCCACCCCCACCTTGCCCCTGACACCCACCACGCCCCCGGCCGTCGCCCCTGCAGCCCAGACGCCCCCAGTGGCCATGGTGGCGCCGCAGACCCAGCCCCCAGCCCAGCAGCAGCCCAAGAAGAACCTGTCCCTCACGGTAGGTGGGCCCTGCTTGGCTGGTAGTCCTGGGCCCACTGCTCCCCACGGGTGGCGCAGCCTCAGTCACCTGCATCTCCACTCTCTCCCCACACCTGGGGGTGGGGGTGCAGGGGGGCCTGCCCAGGCTTCCCCGGGAGGGAAGGGTGGTCCAGTGGGGGCCCTTACGCCTGCCCCTGCCCACAGAGGGAACAGATGTTTGCAGCACAGGAGATGTTCAAGACAGCCAACAAAGTCACACGGCCCGAGAAGGCCCTGATCCTGGGCTTCATGGCGGGTTCCCGAGGTATGTCCCTAGTGGGCAGATCCTGGGGGGGCCGGGGTGGGGGCCTGGGACAGCCCTGTGTAGGGCGGGACTGTGGGGAGTGGTCAGCCCAGCAGCCCCTCCCCTTCAGAGAACCCGTGCCAGGAGCAGGGCGACGTGATCCAGATCAAGCTGAGCGAGCACACGGAGGACCTGCCCAAGGCGGACGGCCAGGGCAGCACCACCATGCTGGTGGACACGGTGTTCGAGATGAACTACGCCACAGGCCAGTGGACGCGCTTCAAGAAGTACAAGCCCATGACCAACGTGTCCTAGCCGGCCGCCGCCCGCAGCCCCCCGCCCTGTCCACCGCAGCCCCTCAGCCGCCTCTGTGGGCCTCGACTCGGGGGGGCTCTGAGGAACGACAGATGGACAGCTGGCAGGGTGCAGTCCTCCACCCAGCCTCCCGGACATGTGGCCGAGCCCCAGCCTATTTAAGTTTTTAGATTAATTTCTCTGGGGTGTTCTGGGCTTCTTTTTTAAATTTTAATGAGTTATTTTTTGTGTGATTGAAGACGCTTTTTTGGATCCAATATTACATTTTTGAGCATTAACCGGAACAGTTACAACTTCCTAATTTTAGTGGCAGTGCTGCCTCTTAGCCTTTTCCCTTTTTTTTACTTTTTCTTAGAGGAATTCCACTGGCCGGGCGAGGGCTCGTGCTCGCTGGTGCGACGCCCTCCCCCTCAGGTTGAGGGGACCAAAGGCCCGGGCGCCGTGACGGGGAGGAGTGTGGACCCCCCCCCCCGGGGCCGTCCACCACCGGCACCCGCCTTGCACCCACTGGGAGTTTTGTATTTGTCTTTTGTATAGCTGTGAACATTTCAGACCGGTCTTTGGTCCCTATTTTCATTGTAAAACAATATCTGAATGATTAAAGTTGAGCTTTTCTGAGAACGCCTGGACTGGGTTTCCTGCCAGCCCTCCCGTTCTTTGTTGTCCCCCCAACCCCTAGGCTGGGGCCTGGCCCAGGGTGGGTGAGCCAGGCTGCTGGACCCCCCCCATCACCCCCTTTGCTCTGTACGTCCGGTGGCACCGGCCTCAGGGCTTTGGGTGGCACGAGGGTCCCTCCTTGGGACTGTTACCTTAAATGTCAAGTCTAGAACCAGATTAACTTACTTAAAAAAGGATTTTTTTCAGAGTAATGCAGGTTGCAGCTGCCCCTCCGGTTGTCATCCTACTGTGACCCGAAGCTGCACGGCATTCAAAGGCAGTGACCCACCTGGCCCTGGGTTGGGAGCACTGGGGGGCGATGGGGCCAGGGCCTCGGTGACCCACAACCCTCTGGAACTAGAAACTGAGGAGGCCCAAGTTTCAACGCATAACCTCACATACAAATAAGTTAAAGAAAAAAAAGCCTTTAAAATTTTTTTAATACAAAAATACTCATACACCATTTTCCAAACACAACTTTCCACTTTAAATGCTATTTTTCCCCAACTGGCAATTCTCAAATCTACATTTCAGTATATTCCCCCCAAAAGTGAACTTCAAGTTTTTAAATCTAACTATCAAAACTGGTGGCAGCACCGGTATTCCTAAAAGGCGCTATCGCCTGGCCTTACATTGTGGAGCAAGTTCGGACACCAATAGGCACATTTCAATTTATATTTAATCTCTGACAGGGCAGTTCACATCTCAACAGGGTATGGGGCACACAACGCCCAGCGGGACAGTGTCTCACCAAGGACTCCTGGCAGGGCTCTCGGGGACCAGGACATTTGGCAACTGACAGTCTTTGCATTAACTTTAATGGAACAGGTTTAATTCCTAAAGACAAGGTAGTTCTGGAAGATGGGTGATAGACACACGTTATGATTTAGATGTGAGGATAATACTTCAGGGCAGTCGGAGCACGGACCTGAGTGTGCGGAGCCCAGGCGGCACTGGCTGAGGACCCCGGGGAGCGTGGCCTGGGCTCTGGGATCCCCACGGGTGAATAGCTTTTGGTGCCAGCCTCAGCTCCAGCGTTAGCACGAGTTACTGTGACAGACTCAGGCGTCTGGCCTGCACAGTTTTGAGAGGCACCACAGTTGTGAAGAGGCCCAAGGGCTGGCACGGGGCAGCCCGACGACACACGTGTTTCAACAGCGCTCACGTGCCCGGTGTGCCGGCCGCCTCGCGCGCGTGCACGTGAGCATGTGCTTTCAGATGCCAATTCTCGAGCGGATGCCTGACGCCACGGAGTTCTAAGGTTTCAGGGCAGTTTTTGTTTTTGGTTTTGTTTTGCTCCTCAGTAATGACAAAGGATTGAAGCTCACAGTCACAAAGTCACCGAATCCCCAAAAACAAAATCTCCCCCAAATGCCTAGAACAGAGCAGGCAGGTCAGAGCACAGGCCACGTCCATGCATGGCTGTCAGCTCCAAGCTGTGTTTTTACTCGGATTTTACAAGCTAGGCTTCTCAAGATTCTCAAAGTTAGTGTTATCTTCTCATTAGCATAGCAGGTTTTAGAACCGGGAACCATACTTAAAATAATTTTTGCAGTATTTCTTTCAGAAAGATCATAAAGAGAATTTGGAAATACAGTGAAGTGAGTCAAAACTCCAGATTTTACTACTGTCAAATACAGTAGAAGTTAACCTGTTTCCCAAAGTGCACTGCAAACCAACTCAGATCCCTTAACTTGGCAGAGTTCTTTCAGCTGGTAGGACGGGAACTTCTGGACAAAGACCCCAGCTTGTACCTGTTAGAGGCGCCCTGGGTTCTCCCTATGGGCCCGTCCTCAAGCAGGCTCCACCCCGCCCACCACCTCAGGGGCCGCCTGAACCTGGGCTGGAAAAGGTGCCGGTGGAAGCACGGGGGTGCTGTCCGGCTTCTCACTTGGTAACACCCTTTCACCTTTTGTGCATAAGGAGCATAAATAAATCTATGAAGTGATGCAACGTTCTCTTAAAGACAGAGATTAGAGTTCTAGGAGGAGAACACGCTCCACAGCAGCCATGTTCATCAGGCAGGGGCGTCTCCAGAGGTAACCAGCCTGCACGTTTAGAAGTTGTCAACTGGTTTCTAGTTGTTGGTTCCTTTTGGTCCCACGCACGGTTACTTCTCAGGACCACAGGCCGGGTAGCCTCTAGTCAGCGTGCAGGGAAGGGGTGGGCCTGGACACCGGGGTGCCCGGTCCCTGGGCCGCCCGCTCCCTGGGTCTGGGTGCGTCCAGGGACCCACACGCCAGAGGCAGGTTCTCCATGAGGCCCCGGAGCCCATAAGGAACACCGCTTCCCAGAGTGCAGGCTCACAGGACCACAGAGAAGGAGCTAACGAGTCTTCAGCCCAAATATTTACTGCAATTTTACAAGACAGAAAGAATCCGAGAAATGGCCCCGAGACCTCAGTAGAAGTTTTCCTAATTACTAAGGAGAGTTGTGTAAACTTTTCTGCAAAATGAGTGTTCTCCTTAGGTTACTGTTAAGAAAGAGCTGGAAAAAAGCACCTGCTTCTGGGTGTTGCCCCCACTCCCTGTTGCCGGGGTGGAGACAGCTGGGCCCCTCTGAAGGGACACACTGCCCCCGCCACCTTCCTCGGGATACTCCGAACTTCCCAGGGTCAGGAGGAACCCCCAGAAAAGAAGAATCAAGTCTTCCACAGAGAACTCACTATTTCTCAGCTATGTCACTACACGGGGCTGGGACTTTTAAGAGAGAACCGAAATCTCACACCAGAAGTGTCAGCCGAGCCCATCGCTGCACCAGACACCCACACACTCGCCAGGAGGTGGCGCCCTGGGTGAGAGCAGATCCACAAGGTTCGATGAAGCAGAAACAACTTTAGACGTCTCTGAAACCTCATCACGCATCAGACCTGAAAACAAGAGTTTCCAGAAGCACCTGTTTCCCATGTGCTCCGAGCCACTGGTGGGGAGCCAGGCAGAGACAGCGCGAGGCTGGCACCGTGGGCATGGGTTGGACCAGTCCCTGTCCTGTCACCTAAAGTGCCCACAGGACAGAACACAATCCGTCAAAGTCGGTTTTCATTTACTCCAAACACAAAGGCTGCAGGTGCCGCCGTCTGGTGGAGGCTGGGGGCCGCGTCAGTAAATACACGTCTCAGTCAATGGTGATTTGTGAAATGAGTTTAGCAAAAATATATTGAGAATAAAAGCCAGAAGACGGTATTAAAAAAAAAAAAAAAAAAGCCAGATGGAAAAAATATACAAAGTGTTTTCCCAAAATGGTGCTAAGAACCTCGCGCGTTCAGAAGACAGGCCCCGGGGGCAGGCCGGGCTGCTGGGCGGGGGCACTGCCGGCGGCACCTAGTTCACACCCGCGAGGAGAGAGGGCAGATCTCAGAGCCACCCTCTCCGTCTCCGTCACCGCCCCCAGCCCCAGGCCAGCTTCTCACTAGGATGGAGAAGAAGCATTTAAAGGAAAAAACTTCATATTAGTACAAAAATCATACAGCTGTTTTCATAAGCGCAAAATAATAATCGAAACTGTGGTTTCCAAGGCCTGCAGGGTCAAGGTCAGAGGCCTTGGCTCCTGAGTGATGGTGGCACTGTACGCAGAAGCCGAGGAACATTCTTCAGATTAAAAAGTTAATAGCGATCCTTTAGAAAAAAATACTATTCTATACATTTCAGGTGAGATAAAACCATTTCATATGCCAATTACTTTTCAATCATAACTTTAACCTAGAAAAATAAAGCGGGAGGGAACCCTGACATTCTTAGAAATTCAAGTGTGACTGTGGAGCTGTGGAGTAAGGCTGGTTTGTCTGGAACATTCTGAACTGCGTGGCTCAGAGCTGGTCATCAGTGCAGAGGCAGCGGATGCTGCTGAGGTGGCTCAGTGGTGGGGAAGGTGCTCCCTCCCGGGGGCCTGTACATCTGTCATGGGGGCAGGGGCTGCGTCCTGCGGCCAGCCCTGCACTCAGCCCTTTACCCACGAGGCTGGCCGCCCACACAGCCCTGGATCTGGCCAAGCCGCCAGGCGCTATTTGCCTTCGGTGACCCTCCGCCAACAGCGCCTCCTCCTCCTCTCCCCCTTCAACTTCACCGGTTCTGGGCAGGGTTTCTCAGTCTTGGCACCTCGCACCGATTCGGCGCCCCCATCATGCTCAGAGCAGTAGAGACGTCCGTCCTGCGTGGAGCTGAAGGCCGTCCCATCATGGTGGTCCTTGCAAAAAGAATTGGGACAAAAGTGGCAAAACGAAGTAGAAGGTTTGCCACACACGTCACAGTGATGCCAAGGACATTCCCACTTCCCTGCAATGAAGCAGAAAACAGCAGCAGGCATGAATGAGGGAACAGCAATAACCTCGACATGTTCACGGCTGGAAACGATTTCTAAAGCTCTGCCTTATCAAATGAGTGCAAATTAAAACAGACACTGCTTTTCATCCAAGTGCTGACAATTCAGAAGGTAACAAACACCCTGTGCAGAGGACGGGCAGAAGAGACACATGGCACGCAGGCCAAGTACGCTGTACAGAGGGACAGCTCTGCCCCTACCTCCCGGCGCAGGGCCAGGGAGACCAGGCCGACGGCCGCGGGGGCAGCTCCTGGTGGCTCTGCTCTATCTGGACACTGCCTGTGCCCGTGGGACCATGCTGGCTGCAGTCCGTGAACACTGTCTCCGGGCATTAATTGCTAAGGGCTCTCTGTGAAGTAGGGCTAGCTCTTTATCACGCCCACTGCAAATACTTTTCGTCCGACACTGACTCTAGTTGTGTCAGCTTTCACCATACAAAACGTATTTTTATAGTCAAACAGGTTTTTGTTTTTTTTTAAAGCTTCTGGTTTATCTTGGTGTGAGGGCCCCTTGATTTTCTTCTGTGATTATAATGAACACTTCACACTGATATCCAAGATCTCTGAACTGGGCGTTGGTGGTCTGGGCCGAGCCCACCTACTTCCTCTCGGGGGGAGGGCCAGGCTGTGGCCCCCTGACAGCCAGTGGCTGCCCCTCCTGATGAGCGCCCACACGTCCCAGAGCCTCGCCCCCCACCCCATCACTGGTACAGGCAGCAACCCCAGGGGCCCGTGGGGGCTCCGGCAGGCCCGCCACCAGCTCTCCAGTTGGTGCTTTGGACTCCATACAGAGAGCCAGTGTAAATGGAGAACGTTTGACTGCCAGGACAAGGAAAGCGTTTCCTCCCCTGGGTTGAGGGCTTTCACAGCCCGCATGGACATGGAGTTTACCACCTGACGAGGTGTGGTCACAACAGGGAGCCGGTTGGGCAAACACGGAGGCTCCCGGTGACAGCCAGCCACTCACCAAAGGGCCGCTTGCCCAGCCCGAGGCATGACAGGTGGTAGGCCTTGGTGCAGAACTTGCGGTCACACAGAACCAGCTGGCCCCCGTCACCGCAGCGGAAGCAGTCATCCTCGGAAGCCTTCTTCCCTTCACCCCTTGTTCGACGCCTCCTGGTTTTCTTCTTCATCTTCTTGCCCTTCTCCTCTGAAGAAAGGGATGCTGAGGTCTGGGATGAAGAATACAGTTCATTTAAAAAAAAGAATGACCCAGACTGAAGCCATAATAAAGACCAAACTATAAAAAGAGCCAAAGACCAAAATGAAGATGTGGGAGTCAGAGACTCTCTGGAGATTTCTAACATGGGAAGAACAGGGCAGTTCTCCACACAGGGAAATCAGTCCATGCCCGACAGGGCCGCTCATCAAGCATATTCTTAGACTTAAGTTACTTAATAGAAACAAGCTGAACACAGGGAACAAAACAAGCACAAGCTCTGTCGACAGCCTCCTGCCGAGGAGACGCAGCCCAAGGGCTGCCACCTACTCACACAGCGCATCCCACCCCACGTGGGGCAGCCTGGGATTTCATCAGCAAAGGGTGAAAAGCAGCCCCACAAGGTCTGAGGGCAGATGTCCAAGAGGAGTTCCAGACCAGACGTAGACAGGGCAATTACCAAATGTCTTCCATCTGGGTTTGCCCAGCACAGGGTGCTGAACACCGGCCTCTGACAGACCCAGAGTGAGGGAGTCTGGCTCCTGCCCCGGGGCCGCCACTCCAGCCAGCTGCTACTCTCAGCCCTGCGTCCGCATCATCCCCACCCTCAGCACCACCGGGACGGAGGGGCTCGCTGGTGGGCCTGCTCCCTGAGTCACCTGTGCAAGCCAGCCCAGAGGGGTAAGGTCCTCCACCTCTGAGGCCAAATGTGTGGTGGACCACACACCTCCTCCACACGCCAAATGTCTCCTGCAGAAATCTCAGCCCCCTTTCCTGCTCAATCCAGACCCCAGATGCTGCCTGAAGCCCCTTCTCTCTCATCCCCATTCACCCGGGGCCAGGTCAGCGGGCACCGGCCCCTTCTGTTCCTCTGGTTCGGTAATCTGGTGCACTCACTCAAACCCCAGGGAAGGATTCTCTCTCATCTAGCAGAAAACAGGACAGGAAGAGGGGGAGTCCAGGAGGGTCTCAGCAGACAGCATCCATGTCCCAGGGGACAAGCTTACCCTCCCAAGAGCAGGTGTTCGCTCCCTCCAACCTGGAAGCCACTGAGCCTCCACCTTCCAAGGCCTTTATCGGCCTGCCCAGGCGGCCACTCTGGATGGCAGCACACCTCCTGAGATGCGGTCAGCACTGGGCCCCAGGGGCTCCCTCCCGGGCTGCTCGGCCCCCAGTCGCTGGCCTCAGGTGTAGTCTGGCTGTCAGCCACCAGGAGCCCCCCGCCCGGCACGCAACAGGTTAGCTTTGAGGAAGCCGCTTCTCACTCAGAGGGCTGTGTCCCCAGATGTCTGAGATGCCAGCACTGGCTATGAAATACACAGACCTTTCTACACACAAAGCGGCAGGGACTCTACCTTTGGCCGATCCCCCAGGAATCCGCTACAATTGGAGGCTCCACACCGACAGACGGTCTTCTCGTTGCCCAAACAGTCGAGGTTGTAATTAAAAGTCAGCTCTGTCCCTGGGGGGAGAGGGGACACGCTATGCTGGAACACTCACCTTCTCACAGCACGCCAAGGAGCATGAGCCCGATCTACGAGGCACGTCCCTGTTATTTTCACATGTGTACTCGATACAGTGGCTTTTCCATCCTGCTTCGTGAAGCTGAGATTCAAAGAAAACAGAACACCCCCCACCCTGCCTGCCCACAGCCGCCTCGGTTTGGTGGCACACAGCGCCGGGCAGAGCCCACGGCTGAGGGGGCTGAGCGGCAGGCCGGGGGCCGCGGTACCTGCAGGAATGTCGCACACAGCAAACAGGCCCACTCTCGTGTCGCCGTTCACCGTCCACTTGAGGGTCTCGCAGTTGGGCTGGCAGCTGTGGTTCATGAATCGGGAGTAGTTTCCTTTGGGGCCAGCATCAATGATACGGTCCTGCAGGGCAAAAGTCAGGTTTCAAATCACGTTGCCATCTTCCACATACACGTCTGTATTTCTAAAGTGAACTGTAACTGTCCTATGACACGCTGGGAAGGTGGTTGGTTGTTGTACTGAAAACCGTGGTATCCCATGGCCACTTGGACAGGACGCCCCCAAACCAGTCCTCTTTCTCTTGCTCACCGAGGGCAGGTCGGGACCACGTGGAAAGGACCGAGCCATGGTGAGCGCCCCTGAGAACAGGACAGTGAGCCGGCACTCCTGGCCACCACCAGCAGATGGCAGGCAGAGGAGCTAGGATGAATCTGAGCATCACACACGACCGACAATGAGTGTCAACAGCCCACAGAAAACTCAGATACGAGCAAGACCATGAACCCAATTACAAGTGGGCAAAGACATACTCATTCCCAAAGAGCAGGCCAGAGAGAAGCCAGCGTAAGGTCAGATGTCACATCCCAAAGCAGCTGAGGAATGCAAGCTGAAAGTATGACGAATCTGCCTCCACACCCTGACCCTATCCAGAGCCCAGCCCGGCTTCCGTGCCCCGCAGGTCCCTACGGATCCAGTGCACGAGATGGGGCTCCCCTCCGGGAGGTGAGAGCAGCAGATGGAGAAATGTGCGCCGGTGGCTCCATCGGCTGCACATCGCTCAGAACCCCAAGGTGCGGGTGGATGCCCAGGTGGACAGGAAGGAAACGCGCCAGGCGGTGAACACGAGTGGCCTGAAGAGGCAGCTGGGGCTACTTAAAAGGCCACATAAAACATCACATTTATGAATTTATGGAAACTTCTGTGTGAGAGCGGGTGTAAATAAATACGTAAACACATCCGTCTCTTAACACGTAGCTCCCATGGCGCCAGTACCACCACGCTAAGGACTGACAGGCCTGGGACAGCTGTGCGATGGCCACAGGCACGTGCCAGGGCCCTCCACGTACTGCTCCTCAGCACGGCCTGGAAAGGAGAGCTGCCAGGACCCCCCAGCCAGTCTGGGGACCACAGGATCCCTGACCTCTGGGGCCACAGCAGTGAGCGAGCCTCCAGAGGATGTCACTGACACACCGTGAAAGAAAGGTGGTGATAACTTCTCTCTTAGAGAAATTGGGGACAGGGGTCAAGGAGCATCCATAGCCTGGCCCTGTCCCACCTGAATTTCAATTTTTATTATCTTTTTTTGGCTCAAAACTTTTCTCATTTTTATGCAGCTATTTTCTTGATCTCTTGCTTTACTGATTTTTCTACTTTATACATTAGGGTTCTGACTAGTTTATGACAGCCTTCCCGACCCCTAAACTGGTGTGAGAGATGGTCAGCTCCAGTCTTCATTTACCAGTTGCTGTTGAGTGGACCCCGACTCAGGGCGCCCCCAAGCATATCATAGCAGAACTGCTCCATGGGTTTTTTTTTTAAATCGCTGATTTTTCGGAAATACCAGGCCTTTCTTCTGAGACACCTCAGGGTAGACCCAAACTTCTAGCCTCCAGTTAGCAGCTGCCGAGCGTGTTAACCATCTGCACCACCCAGGGACTCCGGCCCCTGTTCAGGTGCTGCTGAAGGGCACCACGTTTCAGGACACACGCCAGCGGTGCAGAGGCCGTGCAGCGCCACCACAGGGTCGGCACCCAGGAAGGCCTTGCCGTCTGGAGAGCCATCGGGGCACGTCCACGCCGCAGGCTCGCGACAAGGGCACACCCAGCGTTACCTTGTCTATCGTGAGCATGTAGAAGTGAGTGATGTCATTCTCGTGGGCGTATTTGATTCTGGCCATACACTCCTCTTCGTCAATGACCTCTCCAACGTACTCATTCACAAATTCTCCCTGAAAATCAGAAGAGCATGATGACGAAGAAAAATCTACTGACCAATTCTTACTGTCAACGCTCGAGTCCCAACGTCAGAACAACTGGAACAGGGCATCACGCAAATAATAATACCGTCAGGGCGACCGAGATCTTGCAGAATCCCTAAGAGTTGGTCAATTTAGATGATTTTACACATTTCTTACAGGTACAGGTTGTTGATGGAAGATTCATTCAAGCTCTCTTGAAGCAGCCACAGTCTAACCCTTGCTTCCTGCATTTCTGGTCTCCTGAGAGCACCGTGTGAGACTCCCTCCAAGCCTCCACGTATCTCACTGCTCAGGTGTCCATTTCCCTCACAGAGAAAAGGATGGGAAAGACCATGACAGACTGTAACAGTCCACATCCAACAGCAATGCAGGCGAACAGAAGAACAGAGACTGCTGGGGCTCGTGTGCTGCACAGCCGTCTCTGGCGCTGATGAGAGTGGTGTCTGAGCTCTACCCTCTCCTGTACTGACCCATCCCTGGTGCCCGGTACCATCCTGACCCTAGCCGAGGAATAGGCTGCAAGAAAATGTGTCTGCATGTACAGCTAGGCTTGGTCACTGAGAGGGGGGGGCCGCATCTGTGTGGCCTCCAGCACTTCCGAGCGAGCGCGTCCTGGCCTGTCAGGGACTGTCTTTCTCATTCCAGCCTCAGCTGGCTAGGTGCTGGGTCCTGAGCACCCTGGCTGCTAGTCTAAGGAAAATGGTTACTTTCCAAATCTGTCATTTCCTAAAGGAGACATCACAGTTCTGACTGGAGACAGGTTTTAAGAAATTTGTAAATTTTACTTCGATAGATTTTTCATGTAACTTATTATGCTACAACATTCAGTATGGTATTTTTAAAACACCATTCCGACATGAACACAAGCACACAATAACCAAACCTAAGTGGCTAATACTCAGTGGAACCACGATGTCTTAATGGGAGGAAGAAGCCCACCACACCCCACCTTTTTAATGTCCCTCTTGGCGACCAGGCCCCAGCCTTTGCCTTCCGTCTTAATGATCTTGGTCTCGGGGTACTGGCGCTTGGTGAAGCACTGGTTCTGACAGTACTCGCCCGCAGGGCACACCTGTGGGTGGCACTCGAACATCAGCATCCTGTTCAAACACTCCGAGTCAAAGCCGCAGGGGTTTTCATCCGTGGGCTTACAGTTGCACTTAGGAATTTCAGAAATATCGGCTGTATAGATCTGAACTTTCCCGTACGGCTTATTCACCTGCAAGGGAAAAAAACAAGCTGCCTTACGCCACAGATCGCACAGAAAGCATTCCTGACCTCTTTACGCCTGCTCCTGCCCCAGCTCTGGGCCATTCTGAGGTCTCTAAGCAGCAGAGTCCTGCTGGATACTGGGGGGGGGTGGCAGGCTTCAGCCCACGCACTCATCAGAACACCCCCTCATCAGCCCTGGCAGCAGCTCCTGGCCCTGGCTGCCCTCGCAGCGACAGGACAGCCCCTGGCCTGGGGGCTTTAAAAGCAGGTGGAGCGTGAGGCCCTGAGGCCCTGCAGCCCCTACTTCAGTTAAGCGTTTGTGACCCTCGTGTGTGAGAGCTAGCACTTACCCAGACAGGACGCCGAGAGACTGAGAACACCAGCTAACAGACGATGCCTGGTGCCCAGCAAACACTTGGCGAGGCGTTCTCTCCAGCTGCACCCACCCACCCGTTAGGGACCAGAGGGCCGCACAGGACAGGAGTATGTGAGGAGCAGGAGGCACTGTCCTCGCCTCGTGAAGCCTGTGGCTTAATACTAGTGGAAGAAGAACCACCAAGTAATAAAAGGAGTGAAGAAAATTTAAAAAAAACTACAACAGAAACGTAATTCTAAGATGTGGTGAAAGACACCCTCTTCACAGGCTGGTGGTGTGACAAACTGGTACAGAGCCCTTGAGAGAACGATCTGGAAATATGTCTCAACAATCTAAAAATATTCATGCTCTTTGACTCAGTGATTCCATTTCCAGGAATTCATCCCAAAGAAGTCTTACAAGCGGAGAGCCCTTTCTTTACACACAGAGGTCCCACTGCAGCCCCGTAAGGCCAAGGACCAAGTGCTTGACCCGGCTGGTGAGGTGGCCACGGTGGGGCGGTGCCGTCTGGGGTAAGCACTGACTGCTCTGAGGATGGAGGCGTGAAGCCCTGACAAGGCAGGGATAGGCTGTGAGCCCTGCTCATGAGAGACAGTAACAAGTGGACGGCGGGGGGAGCATGGCCTCCTGCAGGGCTCCTGGGTACCCTGGGGTGAACATGGGCTCCCAGGAGATTAGGACAATCGGGGGGCATCCAGCTGTCCTCCCCAACCCCCATGCCCTTCAACATGGGAGATCATTTGTCTCTTCTCTCTCTCCTACCCTGTGGTACAGTCACCAAGCCATTGTCTTCTGCACAAGGTTGTCTCCAGCATCTGGTGAGGATTCAGTCTCAGCCCCTCCTGCTCCAGGTGGCCTGGCCAGTACTGTCCTTCCGGCCCCTCTCTGGCCATCACACCAAGCCTCCTACTTCACAGCAAAGCCCCTGACTGCCTCGCTGGCCCCTGCACTGTGGACAACAGGCAGCTCTCGGGGCGACAGGGCTTCCTGTGCAGCCCTCGTACCGGGCACACAGGTGCTGGCTCCTGACATGCCTCTCACCCGCCATGGCCTGGGAATGCAGAGCCTGCACACCCGACTACATGCACACTTCCTGTCACGAGTACTCCATTCATTCATGTGGAACGAATGCCGCTCCACAACGTCACCTTAATGTGCTTGTACGGCGGGGGTTTGCGCTCATTCTCCTGGGTCTCTCGGGCTTCCCTCTGGAGTCTGATTTCACGAAAGCGAGCTTCAGCTTCTTGCAGTGCTAAAACATCAACGAGATACTAGTGAGAATTTTAGTAAATAAATACATCTACTTATTAAACTCTATTTTTTAATAGTTTACTTTAAATTTTCATTTTGCTAGTAAGTATATTTCTAGTCTCCACGGACTGGTTCTCAATGCTACGAAATGTTTTAAACCGAAGAATGATCAAAGAGCCCTTGGTAGCTGATGGGCACCAGCATGGCATGGAGGGCTTCCCCAGGGACAGGTTGGGTGGATGCTCCCTACAGTTCCCCATCCTCCACCGGGATTTCAGAACAAAGTACCAGACATTGATATTTGGGACTCACTATCCTAAGAAAGAAAACAAAAACACAATTTTATTCATCTCAAAAAGGAAAAGGTTTCTGAGGGGTGAAGAAGTGGCTCAAGCAAAAACAAGCAAGCAACTGAAGTTCCCTGAGAGAGCCTACATCAGTGTCGGACCTCTCCTGCAGGCCTGCCCTTGGTGGCAGGTCACTAAGGTGTACAACTCTACGGGATTCCAGGCCAACAGTCTGCAGACTGGCTGCGGCCAGACTTCACCGTTTGCAGCCAACCGTGACGGGACACGTCAGTCTACCTCTCAATTCCCATCCTTCCGCCTGAACATCTCCCGATGCCTACTCATTCAGACCTCTGGGTGCCACCTGTGTGCTAAGGCCTCAGAGGAGAGACAGGCCCAGACAGCTGGCAGCACACTGTGCAGCATGAGCCAGCCTCCCTTTCTCAGCCTCTGGCCATGACACAGCATCCCTGAGCGGCTATGCACACGTGCCATCAGCCATCAGCTCCCTGCTGCCCCGAGCGGCCCTGTGTGCGCCGCAGCTCCCTGCTGCCCCGAGGGGCCGCGTGTGCGCCGCAGCTCCCTGCTGCCCCGAGGGGCCGCGTGTGCGCCGCAGCTCCCTGCTGCCCCGAGGGGCCGCGTGTGTGCTGCAGCTGCCTGCTCCCGAGTGGCTGTGTGTGTGGGCCGCGAGCTTGCTGCTGTCCTCGCTCATCCTGAACCCAATGTGAGCGCCACTTCTTCCAGGAGGCAAACACATCCCTGTGTCTCACCCAAACCTGGGTCTCAGCCAGCTACATTACACTGTCCTCACTCTGCCCCAACACTAGCTGTGGAACTGGAGGCAGGAGCATCCTGTTTACCTGTCCATACCCAGCACCAAATGAGGCACCTGGTACTTGATCCAAGTCTGCTGAACAGTAAGGTGAGTGACAAACAAGCCCTGGTGCCCAAGTTTTACACAGCAGGAAAGAGGCCTCTAGATTTCCATCTATGTGAGGGCAAGCTATGAACAGTCTGTGAATTAACACTAAGAACAATTTCTTAAAAATTGGCTTTAGTGCATTTTAATGAAATTAGTCAAAAACCAACATTATAAAAGTTAGTAAATAGTACATCTTATGCTCTGCCTAACAAATTAATCTGCAGACTTAGTTTCTTCTAACTTAAAAGCACACATGGAATGCTTAGTCTAGTAATTTCTATAGCAATCATATTTTCAAAAACCAGAAATCAGGATTAACAAACTGCACACAAAGGGCAGTGTTTCATTTTCTATTTGAAAAACTCTATGTATATGTATCTCTGTACCGTTTTTGAAGACTTTTCCAATTCCTTTAACTCCTTGGTATCTGCTGCCCCGATCGCCCTCCATGTACGGGAACACTCGTGCCTGATGTGTCCAGTAATAATCTTTAGACCCAAAGAAAAACACAGGAAATTCTCCAATCTCGTGCTTCATTTTCTGAATATTTGGGGGGACATTTTTGGGATGGCAAACTTCTGCCGGCCACCATCTATTATAAATATTAAAAACAGGGTTCACAGACTCTTCAGAGACAGCAACAATCACTTCGTTACTTTAAGTACTTTAATCTAGAGTGAAATGAACACATGTTAACAAGAAAAGGCATAGAAGTAAGCATATGAGTCTATGTCTCACACCTGTAGTTCCCAAGTTTAACCCAAATGATGTCCTGGAAGTGTAACTTCTTCCCAGCCCGGCAGTCGTTGCAGAACCAGCTGCCGTCAGGCATCTCGATGTTCAGACAGTCAGGGTGAAAGGCTGCCGGGCAGGACTCGCAGCACAGAAGGCTCCCCCCTGCAAAAGGGGGCGGGCTTAGCATGGGTCTACTACAGGGAGGCCAGGTGTGCCTGCTCACATGACAGCTATCATGCACTCGGTTCTTACACATTACTCAACAACAGTCATCTGTGAGTCAATAAAAAAGCAAATGTTATTTCCACCAGTAATCATCTCCCAAAATTCCATGAAATTATCACAGTTAATTTAGAAATATCCTGATAGACTACTAAATGTGCAACTACAGAAAATGTTATCAACAGCAGTCAGCACACCCCAGAAGAAGATTGAAGCCAGTACTGGAGATGGCTAGGATTGTCTTCAGAGCTGTGTGTGTTAAGAAGCAACTGTAAGCAGCGCGCTAACCAGTCACGGTGACCAAGCAGAGTCCCGCCTTGTGCGCGCCAGGCGGCAGTGGCCGCACAGGCGTCCACCGGGCCTCACCTTTGGAGCACACGAAGCACCAGCTCACATTGACGTGCGTGTGGTGCCTCTTCCCCTTCCGGGCAGTGAAGTGGCCCGTACAGACGATGCTGTTGGACGCGATCACTGAACACCCCGCTGCCAAGCAAGCGTCCCCGCCATGGTAGGCAACGGGGCAGCGTACACACCGCATCATTTTACCTGGAGGCAGACACACACACAGTAAAAGGCCCCACCAGAGACTCTTCACAAGTACGCTGACCTCACTACAGTGAACAGGGCCACTGGCAATTACTAAGTCACCATAAACTTGGAAAGTTAACGCTGCAATAAATCGGAGGTACTTGAGGAAAAAATATCTAGGATAGGGAGGGCAAAGCATATTTAACAGATGTCATGAAAATATACTTCCTCGAGACAAAAGTGCTTCAAAAAATGTCGTGGGAAAACAGTCAAGCATTTAAAACGCTACATTCTAAAATAAGATAAATCAGCATTTTTCAGCCTGGACACTGGTGACATTTTGGACCAGATCATTCTTTGTGGTGGGGGCTGTCCTGTGCATTATGGGAGGTTCAGCAGTATCCCTTGCCTCCACCCACTAGATGCCTGTAGCATGCCCCCAAAACATCCCCAGACATTTCTGAATGTCCCCTGGAGGGCAAACTGGCCCCCAGTTGAGAGCTGGTATCAACATAACCAGCTATCCTCAACCTCACACTCAACATTAAATAATGCAGATGTCACTTGATTTAAAAGTGCATATAAATGACCATTAAAACCAAAACAGAATCTATTTTGAAAGGTTGCCCCTCCCCTAAATGCAGGGTCTTTACAATGGTGTTTAGAATGGGAAGGCAGGAGAAGCGGGGGACAGGGCCTTTGTCAAAGAGCACCTCTAATCCAGCCTGTACTGAGTTAGTAACAGAAAAACAACCGTTACTCTAGATCAAAACTGGAAGTGATCCTCTTCTGTGACAAACCCAGCAGCTAAGCTACAAGCCCACCTTCCAAAGCATCTATGTGACTACATTTAAACAAACACCGAAACGGTAAAAGGTTCATCTGTACCTTTTGATGGTCTTGGATTTGAAGGGTTCGAAACATGGCAGGTCACACAACTGTGGAGAGGACAACGAAAGCCCCGACTTTCAAATACAGTAAGAGGGTATTTTCTCACACAAGCTTCATGGTAGAATTTTCCACACTGAGATACAACACAGCGCTTAACATCTGTCTTGTTCTCCTTACACACGAAACACGAGTGAATCCCTAACAGATGGTTAAAGAAAGGGGTAGAAAGAGAGATGCAAAGAACAAGAATTAAATTGTAGTTCCTAAGCCATTAGTATCAAGCAACTCTTTTTCTGAGGCAGCCCGTGTTGCTAAAGCGACTGGCTCTATTTCCAACCTTGCTGACTAGTCCCAGCATTCTTCAGAAAAAAATCCAGCCATCAAGGGTTACCTTGCTGCGGTTTGAGCTCCAGCTTCACCTGAAATATAGGAAAGTCTTACTACTCAGACTAGGAGGGGGCAGCCCACACTAATTAGCACGAAGCTTGAAGAAAGGGACTCCTCTGAAGAAAGGCTTTTACTCTTCATCTTGAGAGCAGTTAACCAACGACTGTGAGGAACCATTTGTAATGAGTATATGCTCACTTATAATTACAGGCAAATGGAGCACCCACAGGGGAGTTGTTTATGGTATACTAGAACTCTCTAAGAATACCCCAGATGCCTTCCGATCCCAGGATAGGTTCCGATGAGAATCAGGAAGGGCTTCTCAGGCCCACTAGGGATAGGAGCAGCCACGGCTGAGGCCCGTCTGCCAGCATTCGCCCTGACCTGCCGAGGGAAGCCTCCAATGCAGGAACGTGGCAGCAGAACAAAAGCACTGAGCACTCAGTAGGAGTCTGATCTGCTAGTTCTCTGGTGAGCCTGAAGCTCAGAAACACATGGCATATGTGTAAACACTGCCCATTCCTATGAACATCAACACTCTGTGCTCAATCAGGCACTATGCCAGGAGCGAGGGTCCCTCAAGTCCAGCACAGGTACCTCTGCCTGTCTCTCTGGAGTGGGCATGTGCCCAATGGCTGCCTCAGAGACAGAACCCCGGGGCTCAGACAGCCAGAGGCTGAGGTAGCTGCAGTGAGTTCCACTCAAATACTCAGACTCCAGGCCCTACTACCTGTCACTCTGCCCCTTGCCTCACACTGCGCTTTCTGGTGGCACACTCTCATTGAAGGAGTAACGCCTACCACCTGGAGGAAAGGCACTGAGAAGAGATCTCACAGAGCCAAGTGGCTGGGGCCACCAAGGAGTGGAAGGGCCTGCAGTGCAGGGCCGCTTGCTCCTGGGAGGCGAAGCGTGGAGCGTGCAGAGACAGGTGGGTGGGGGAGTGTCTGCTAACGTCTCAGGTCTGCGACAGAAGGAAAGGTGTCAGGCACTTCCGTAAAAGCAGACCAGAGCACTCCACGCAGTGAGCTAGGGAGGACTCTTCAAGGCTCCAAGGTGACGAGACAGCTGTCTGCCCTTGGGAACAAGCCCTTGTAAGTTTCGCTGGCTTAAAAGCAAGACCAGAACTTGCCTGAAGCACACTCGCTGCAGGTGAACCTCCCTTCCGGTCTCCGGGGAAGCCCAAGGCAGGAGAGGTGGAAAGCTCCACAGCAGGGGCCTTCGCAGAGCAAGAGGTTGCCGGTCTTCTCACACAGCTGCAGGGACACAGGGGGCGGTCAGTGACACCTCGCTCACTTCCTGCTGCACCCTTCTTACTTACTGCAAGGGAAATGGCTTCATCCTGTCCAGTCTCAAATGGCAGATAGCCCAGTCTGCTACTCAAAGAAATAGATTCACACTGCACAGTGGACACTCTGGCCTGCGCGAAGCCCATAGTAAGGCCAGTATCGCGTTACAGACAGTGCACTGCATACAGGTGGCTCTCACTAACTGCACAGGGAACAGGACTAAAGCTCGAACAGATGCACTCAAGACGCTTACAACCAGATACGAAAATCAAGAAAACCCACGGCACACTATCGTCAGAAATCAAAGCCATCCTAATGCAGTTACAGGTGTCAAGCTGCCTGTGTGGGCACTGGCCAGCATGTCACACAGGCTGATGGGGACTTTCAGTAGCCCTGTGTGGGGGCTGAGGCACAAAGAGGTGAACTAACCTGCCCAAGCTCATAGTGTGGGGCATAGCAGAGCCCGAACACTGGCCGCTGTACATGGCTGCCTCCCCAGGAGGGACCAGACTGCTACTGTGGGGCACAGATCTAATGACGGCCATCTCAGCCCGTGACCCAGCACCAGCTGGCCAGTCCGCCTGGTGTGTGTGCTGGCAGTGACTTGAAACACCACTGCCAGCATCTCACCTCCTGCAACCATACACTTTTTATGCTATAGAAAGTCCAGATATATAAACGTGTGTGTGCGCGCGTGCGCACACGTGTATGTATATACAGCCACACACGATGCATATGAGATGTTGTTGTTAGTTGCTGTCAATTCCAACTCACAGCACTACCCCATGTGACAGAGCAGAACTGCCCCACAGGGTCTCCTAGGCTGTAATCTTCACAGAAGAAGCCTTGGTGGCACAATGGTTAAGCACTCAGCTGCTAACTGAAACGTTGGTGGTTCAAACTCACCTAGTAGCTCTGTGGGAGAAAGACCAGGTGATCTGCTCCCATAAAGAGTCTGTCACTGCCCAGCTACCACCACCAACTGCTCTGACAAGAATCACAATACAGGGTCCCAGAGAGAACTGGAGAAAAATGTAAAAAATTCTAACTATCCACCTCCCCAAAAAAATACCAGACTTACTGGTCTGACAGAGGCTGGAGAAACTCCAAGAATATGGCCCCGGAACACGCTTATAGCTCAGTAATGAAGTCACTTTTGAAGTTCACCCTTCAGCCGAAGATTAGACAGGCCCACAAAACAAGAATAACTGGGCATGCCAGCCCAGGGGCAAGGATGAGAAGGCAGCAGGGGACAGGAAAGCTGGTAACAGGAACCCAATCCATGAAGATTACAGCCTAGGAATCCCTATGGGGCAGTTCTACTCTGTCACATGGGGTCACTATGAGTTGACATTGACTTGACAGCACCTAACAACATCTCATATACGCATCATGTGTGGTTGTGATCGAGAAGTTTGAGATAGTGTTGACATGTTGTGGGGTTGGCAACCGATGTCACAAAACAATATGTATATTAATTACTTAATAAGAAACTAGTTTGCTCTGTACACCTTCACCTAATAAGTATAAAAAAACAAAAAGAGTCTGTCACATGAGCCAGAATTGACTCGATGGCACCTAGCAACAACAATCTTTATGGAAGCAGACTGCCACGTCTTTGTCCTGCAGAGCCACCGGGTGGGGTGAACCACCAACCTTTTGGTTAGCAGCTGCGCGCTTAACCAATGCCCCACCAGGGCTCTTTATATATGAGATACATACACTATGTATGAATGAATGATGTTAGTTGAGGCAGCTTAATCCAAGGTTTCTGCTGGCAGCCTAACCCCTTCAAAACAAAAATCAGTGAGAACGACTGGCAGGGGTCTGGACGGAACAGGGGTAATCTGCTTACCCCATACCCCAAGCAGACGCCATAACCTGGCAACTCGGATGGTGACCTCCCCACTCACCTGGCACACATACTCCTTTTTGGCTGTCACTCCTCGTTCTGACTTCTTAGACGAGATGGACACTTCGGTCTGCGTTTCATCTGCACTTTCATACGGGGACTCCGAGGGCTCGTCTCCGGGGCCGTCTGACACCTGGAGATGAAGGATGCGATGACAGTTGAGCCGTGGAGAGCGGTGGGCCTGACACCGCCTCAGGGACACTCTTTGTCGCTAGCTATTTTCTGTGAAAGGACATCCTCAACTGGTTGTTGTCATAATACAACTTGTCAATTAAGCTGTGTAGGGAATTCAAAAATGGACTTTCTTCTGCTTAATACACAGTACATAGGTGTGTAAGAGGCCTAAGATTCAACATTCTCTTAATATTCCTTAAAAATGAAATAACTTTCATGACAATCCAATTTGTTCTAGGGAGTGAACCAAGACTGGTTTCCAGATTGAGAATCTTGACCTTTCTTACCCACTCTCTTCAGGTCCAACTATCTTAAGGTCAGAGAAATACGTTAATACCAAATAAATGTCTGGAGGGACCAAGATGCAGTGTGAGCGTAAGGCTTCCTAAGAGGGGCCCTGCTTGTTCTATCACTGCTGTGGTGGAGACTTTGTTAGCTACCTCAGAAGTCACCACACCGTCTACAGCACAGCCCAAAGGGCGTGACACCCAACTTCCCAGGCTCATCACGCCTGTAGGCGAAGCTGTCCCACTTCTCTCCTTTCTCCCAGTGCCTGTTTATTTTTCCACATTTCACAGTTCACTCCCAGAGAGGTGAGCTGGGGAAGGCAAGGTAACACCTGCCTACTTTGGAAACATCTGAGTGTAACTGAAGGCCTGGGAGAAAGACGTGGGCTTACTGAGCAAACACAATGACCTGCCAGCGGGAAATCCTTTTTCTCACGTTTCTTCTCCATTTAAGGGAGATTAAAACTAGGCTATAACCTCACCCTCATGTGACCAGCAATGTCAATAAATGTTTACATTAATAAAATAGAAAACCCCCTTGTCCACCAATCTCGGGGTTTTCTAAAAAAAACTAAAGACATGCTTGACTTTTAATTGCTATTAAGACTTGAAAATAAATGCTGAAAACTGAATTTTGGAGATGGGAACAGAGCAAAGGCATAAACTACATTTCCGTGATACCTTAATAACCACAGCAACAAGTAATCACGTCACAGGTTTGCTGCTTGCCAATGAACACAAAGCTAGAAACTGAAACTGGGCCACATTTTAAAAAACCCATCAGGCTGTCCAACCAACTCTAAGGCCTTATTAATGAGTTTTTTCCAGATTTAGTTCACTGAAATGACAGGAAGCTGTAGAAAAAGAAACAATCAACACACGAGATTTTGTGGACTTAACATTAGTGTGAAAGTGGGCTTTTCTGTCTGTCTTGCTTCCCTTCCTCTCTGCTGTCCACTCTTCTCGCCCTCGGAGAAAGGCAACTAACAGGAAGGAGCTGACTGCTCCACGGCCCTTTCTCGGCTCTGACTGTAACTGTGGAGCGGGCAGCGGCATACGGGCTCATTCTAGTCCCCCTCTTATGTCTGATACATCCCTTAAATAACACAGTCTTAAGAAAAAGTGGCCTTTTAAACTTGATTTCCTCACCTTTTCCAGAAAGAGGGAAATAGCAGCATTAACGAGCACTAAATTATAGAGGAATCACACGTTAAGGTTTTCTCACTGTGAGGCTGACTGGACAGAACCACGGGGGTCCGCAGCCTCCTCCCCGCCTGCAAACTTGCCTACTTCTTTAGTGCTGGAAAGAATGGTAGAAAGAAGGCAACCTGAACAACGCTGAGTTCAAACTCCAAATCTAGCATGTCCACCAAACACGGAGTCAAGGGTAGGGTGCTGAGTACTTCTGAGGCGAGCCTGGAGGGGGTGCTCGGGGAGCCTGGGGGCGTCAGGAGGCCGCACTGTCTGGCCAGGGCCCCGCTCAGTGAGCAGTCTGCACGGCTGCCCACGGTTGACCCATCTGACTGAGAAAGAGACCGAGGCACAAGGAAAGCGGTCTTCAACAGGGACTCAAGCGGACCACACCCAGGGCTTTATCCGCCAACCCATGTTCTTCCCTCAGTGTGGCTGGAGCAAAATTAAGAGCTAAAAAAAGAAAAAAATGCATGGAGAGAAAGACAGAAAACACAGACCAGTCCTGGGTCAGAGGAAGGAACAGCACCTTTTATTTAAGATTTACAGAAAAAGTTAGCACGTTTCCACTTGGCGATATTTCCTAAATTAACAAAGTCTGTTTTGAGAAAATAAACACTGAGTACATATTTTGAGTGGAAATATAAATGTCAAAGACACACATGAGGCTAGTTTCCTGGTTGGGGTCTGAGATATACATACAGAATAATATATGTGTGAAGAAACCTTACAATGTTACAGTCTGTGACACATCAATGGCAGAATATTCTGACTTTATCCCACCACACCCCTTTCGCTACTGAACAGACAACGAGCACACAGTCGAGATCCAACTGCTCTCCACCCAGCAAGCCACCCGCAAGGAAGAGCCACGTGCGCAAAGAGGGACGTCAACACAAGCGTGCCTTTACTCCAGTCGCAGACTCCACCTCCACATGCACCAGGTGACGTTACTTACTCCGAGATGCCATTGTGAATGCGACAAATTCACCTTTATGGTCCCATCAATACAGTCCCAAATCTCAGTATACGACATTTATGATCTATTCCATATCCAATAGGATGCATTTGGAAAAAGAAAAATGTAGTAACTGAACGGACAGAAGACTGTTAGAAAACTACTCTCGTTGCTTTCCACATTTACCAAAGCCACACTTGTGGTACTGATTTCCAAGCAGCTTAGTTCCTGACTTTTGAAAATGTTCTTGAATCTGAAAATACTTTCTCAGATCTCTACTCATTATGTTATAAATATCAAATTGCCTATTTGCCTTAGAAATACATTACTTTAGGGGCAGGGAATGTAGTTTCCTTAACACGTTGTTGCTGTTGTGTGCCTCTGAGTCAATTCCGACTTACAGCGACCCTACAGGACAGAGAACTGCCCCATAGGGTTTCCTAGGCTGTAATCTTTACAGGAGCAGATTGCCACAGCTTTCTCCCGCAGAGTGGCTGGTAGGTTCCAACTTTCAACCTTTTGGTTAGCAGCCGAGCGCTAAACCACTGCGCCACCAGGGCTCCTTTAATACATATTAGAGGGGCTTTTTCCAATGACATTACAGAGCATAATGTGACCTGGTGAGTGTATCAGAACAACCATCTGGAGACAGCGCGGCCATCCAGAATGACTTGACCACGTGGAGTGTAGTCAGGTCCTACCCGCTGTGACTGGAAAGCAGTCCCCTGCACCTCTGAGCAGTATGTCATACAAACGGAATTGAACTTTTTGACAAAACAAATCCCTTCACAAGTTGTGTACGACATCATTTTTGAAATACAATTACAGACCTTGAACAATAAATATTTCTATATACCAACATTGTTATTTTCATGTTTTAAGTTACGCTTTCATAAGAAGAAAATGGTAACTAGAAATACTTTGACACAGTGTTTTGGGTTCACAAATAAAAACCTTGTGCTCGGCATAGTTAATGAGCTTAATATCAAATAATCTCAAACAAATCTTCCAAGTTAACATCACAGTGAAATATTAAAGAAGAATTAATTTTTAAATTAGTTATCCGTCACCTGAAATACTACAGTCCATAATAACTTTCATTAAAATGACCCTTCTAGGTTACACAGACTAGAACCTTCCAAGCTGCCCCTAAGTTCTAGGGTTAAGGCTAGGTCTGTATCCTTGGAAACACTAAAAACCTTCATTCGGTTTGTAAGACATCATGTTGTGCTTCACATGTGGCTCATCTTCTAACCTACATAGTCTTCTGGGTAGTCAAACCCCATCTAGGAGGGTGGCAGTGAGAACCAGCTGGTCACTGCATGAGCCCGCAGAGCCAGGCCACGTGGCCCTGCTCCTGATTTCAAGGCCTGCCCCCACCAGAGGTAAAACGAGTCTCTAAAACGTCCTAGCAACCCAACTGTGTCCTCAGCAGTGGCCATCCTGCAAAAGGAGACTGAGGAGGGGCCTGTGCGCTTCCTGTAGAGGACTTGGAAACAAGAGGGAAACCACCCAGCCTAACCATTTGCCTGCCGCCAGAACTGCCTGTGGTGGAGTACACACCCTTCCCCGCTGGGGGCTGCCCCACCCACACCTGAGTCATTTCTTTAAGATAAAATATGCCTGGGTGGTTAACTTCTAAACACATGCCTAAAAGTTGTATGCAAAAAAAGGCCTAACAACTAACTATATGTATATTCCCACCCAAAATAGGCAAGAAAAAATTATAAATTTGGATCTAAAATGTAACCATTTAGTTCTACAGGTATTTAACAAGATGAGGTAAACTGAGGTTTCTAAACTCAACACTGGTGTGCCGGTCGCCCTCAATGGTGAAAATACCCCAGAAGGAAGCATGCCCCTCGCCCTAACAACACAAGCCAGAAAATTATACGGGAAATATGATTTTCCACCTGATAAGAACAGTTCAGTTTCCATCACTGGCAGGTAAAATGAGTGATGATTTCTAACATTCTAGGTAAATCAAACGTTAAAAACAGTACCTGAAGGGATCAAAATCAATTTCACTGACCAAAAATGCTAAAGTATGTAGGAATCAGTATGTATCTTTAAAAAAAGAAGAAACTTTAGAAGCAGATAAGAAACCAGTAACAGATTTCAGAGTATTTCTAGAAACCTTTTCTAACGAGACAGACTACCATTCAGATTTACAGACTAAAGATAAAGAGCAGTCCTCAGCAGTGACTTTTTCTGTTACAAATTTTAAACTGAGGTGATGAATCTATTGATTTTTAAAGCGTTCAAGATGCTACAGTTTGCCACTAAGTCAAAAGCCTTCTCAAACAGTACCTGTACGTAAGTCTACCTGGCCAGAAAAGAACTTTAAACTGAACTTCTAATTTTAAAAGGCTACATATGCTTGAGAAATGTGTTCCATTAGAAATCAAATGAAAAAGAAATGAAGTAAATTTGTCCAGGTCGCGGTGACCATACTTTCTATCCATCATGGTTAGGCAAAAGTCCTGCCAGGTGAAGAGAAGCCTCAGTTTTAAACCAGCCTTC